ACGGACCTATCACGTTGAAACACCATACGTACGTCCACCCAAGTTAAGCAACGCCAAGCGTGGTCAGTATTGATGACTACGTGGGAATACCAGGTGCTGTAAACTTGAGTAATCTTATGGTATAATGAACTTACTGCACTATCACGTTGAAATACCGTTTCTCGCGTAAGACTAGCGAAGTTAAGCAACGCCCAGTATAATCAGTACCTAGCTGGGTGACCGCTTGGGAATACCAGATGCAGTAAGGTTGGATGTGCAGGTGGTGTAATGTGTTACAGACACATCACGTTGAAAAACCGGTTCTCTTACTATCATTCAAGTTAAGCAACGTCGAGATTGGTCAGTGCCTAGATGAGTGACCATTTGAGAATGCCAACTTATGTAAGCTTGGATATGCGGTTGGTAAAATAGGCTTACGGGTATATCACGTTCAAACACTGTTTCTCGTACGGCCAGCGAAGTTAAGCAACGTCAAGCCTGGTCAGTATCTAGAGGTGTGACCATTTAGGAATAACAGGCGCTCTATGTTAGGATATGCAGGTAGTGTAATGGTTAACGGCTCGGAATTGGACGCCGTGTTCTAATTCCAGCAAGGGTCGTTTTACTCTCTCACGCGCATATAACCTTGGTGAAGGTAGGGATCCGCCTTTTCCACCACCCCAGCTCTGGGTTAAAATCGTTATTATCTTTAAAAAAATTCTTACAATCAAAAAATATTTATTTACATTATTTACACTGTTCCGACTGTTGCCCTCGTCTTTATTGCCATGTTCACGGCGTTTCGGCTGTTGTACGATCCGGCCTTCGTCAGGTGATTGGAATTTTGAACTGAACCCCTTATTTCGTCCACAGCAATCCGAACAATGTAAATAATTATAATACCTCACCAGAAAAATATAGATAGATATTTTCTTGCATTTATGGCTTATCAACCTTTCGCAGGTTATTTAAAACCTGCAAAACGTTGATAAGCCGTAAAGAACTAAATCAATTAATATAAAAATGTAAATAATTATAATACCTCATCACAGAAATATAGACAGATATTTTCTTGCATTTATGGCTTATCAACTTTTCGCGGGTTCTTTAAAACCTGCAAAACGTTAATAAGCGGTAAAGAACTAAATCAATCAATATAAAAATGAAAATAAAATAAATAAATCTTCTTGGGTCCTTCTGTCTACATTCTTTGCACCAATTTGTTGTCATTTATCTATTTTTTCTCCGAGAAGTATGTACGTAGCCATGGCATTGTCTTTAGCTTGTTCTACTTTTATTTACCGGTAAATTCTCCAAGAAATTTATAAATACGATTAAATCCATTACCTGATCAGCTGCTAAGAAAGTTGGTTCACTGTGTCGAGCAAGACTATTTTTTCTCCAGAATCTATCTGACATATAAGTCTACCATTCATCTATGCTTAGAATATTGCTGCCACATATGGTCCGGTGCCCCTGCTATTGACCTTGAGCTCCTTGACAAAGATCTAAAGACACATGGCACAGTGGATAAAGGCGTTAGTTAGATCCACTGACAGGACCCAAAGAGTGTGACTTCAATACCTGGCTAAGGCGGTGGAGAACTTGGAGAGGGGAATAAACAAGAGATAACTGATAACTGACATCCATTAGACATGGCATGTGGAACTAGAACAGTCTACCCCAGCGAAAGAAAGGGTTCAGTTCGACATTCCAAACACCTGAAGAAAGCCGGAGCATACAACGTTGTCATAAAAAGGGAAACAAAGATGAGGATGATAGTCCGAACAATGTAAATAGTGTACGTAATACCTCATCTCAGAAATATAAACAGATATCCAAAGAAGAATCAGCAATATTATAGGTTCTGATCTGGCACTTGCCCACTGCCGTAAGGTTGCCTCTCAGAGTCTTTTCTATAAATATTTTCATAGCTGTTCAGATGTGGGCTTCGCTATGGTACTTAGACTTTTTGAATTTAAGCGCAGTGTCAAGATCTCGTCAATTTACATTTCAGCTAGCTAGATGTGGCCGTAAGTTCTATGCTAAATGTTTCTTTTCTCGCACTTCTCGCTTGTGGAAGTCCTTTCCGGCTCTATGCTTTTCCAGACAACTTTAATCCGCAAAAATTTAGATGCAATATCAATCGCTATCTACTGTCTTCCTGGTTACACTTTCCTCTTCCAGTTTATTATTAATGTTTCTGTTCCTTATTCTTCCACACTGTGTAACCTTTTGTGTTTTATCGGCTGTACTGTTTTGTTTGGGACGATACCGATTAAAAAATACTAACTTCATAAAAACTAGAATAATTGTTAATTTAATCCCGAATTGTTCGAAAATATTTTAAATGGACAATTGAAGATATCCGCTGATTTGCATTGAAATATCAATTGACGTCGGTTGAACGTGTAATTCATTTTATCTGTTACACTGACTTTGCTTATGAATATCTATATCCAGCAAGAACCTTTACAATAAGTTCTGTGAAATTTAGGAATAATATTCGACAAGATTTGTATTTTAATCCTATCTCCTAAAACCACGTCTTTCATAGTCGAGGCCTTAGCTAATTAAGCCGCAGTCGTCTAGAGCCCAACATGGGTACGAACTGATAGTAACACTTTATTCGTATTTTTATTTTTATTTTACTGTCACTTTTTGCTTCCCCGAATTCTGTACTGGTAACAAGGTCCCTGATTGGAAGGTTTTGAAGTGCGTAGAATCATTTCTAAATTGCTGATGTTTCGAGATCCAACCCGACCCTGGGTGGTCACAACTTTTTTATGTTGTAGAACAGACTTCCATGGTGATGCTTCCCCGATCAAAACAATCTTAACCTGTTCACGTCTAAGGTTAACTGTCATCTACCCCATCTATCCGCATAAACTATACCCCCTACTCTTTAAGCATCTACATCGAGTGGCTCCCGAGCCATGTACAGGGTAAAGTTCACTGTAAAAAATTGGACATTATTTTTTGAGCAGCCTAACTGTAAAGAAAAATAGGTAGAAAAGAATAAACATCGATTGTAAAAAGACAGCAACTGGAACATCCCAAAATATGAACTATGAATTGGAAATGTCGAATTTAAGCAACTATAGTAAATTAACTATCTGTACGGAAATCCGAAGCACTATCGTGTTAGCGAAAGATGCCTATCAAAAGTAAAGTAAAGTATTAAGAAACAGAAAAATTATGTAAAATCGATGTTGCTATATGACAGTACATATTGGAGAATTTTTTTCACAGATGAACAGGAAACTTGACCAAACAAAACTTGACCATCAACAAAATACAATACTCGCCAGCGGCTTGAAGTAGGTAAACAACTGCTAATGGTGGACTACTCAGACAGCATATTACCCCCACTTAAATTGGTATCCAACGTATTTATGACGATTGGAACATACCCATTAGTGTTCATATGTATGGTATATAACAGATAGATAGATAGATAGATAGATAGATAGATAGATAGATAGATAGATAGTGTTGTAACCTAGAAAAGGTTACTGAATGAGCCAGAACCAAAACGGAGGTTGGAAATGAAATGGTAATCTTTATAACATCAGCAAAATACAATACTCGCCAGCGGCGTGATGTAGGTAAACCACTGCTAGAGATTGACTACTTAGGCAGCATATTGACACATATTGCAGTAATGAGCATCGCCCTGAACATATTTCGTGTTAGCGAAAGATGCCTATCAAAAGCAAAGTAAAGTATTAAGAAACAGGAAAATTATGTAAAATCGATGTTGCTATATGACAGTAAGTATTGGAGAATTTTTTTCACAGATGAACAGGAAAGTTGATGTAACAGCGATGTGGCTCTACAGAAGGATGATGAGAAAACAATTCACGGAGCACGTGAGCAACATGACAGTTTTAAAGGAAAATGAGAACAAAAAAAATTGATTTTGTTTAGCGGCATAGCAACACCTCTATGGGTTATTTAATACCGAAATCTAAATATTTTGAATATTTTTATGCTTTTAAATACAGATGAAATGTATTTTTGCGCGTTTTACTATCAATAGGTGTTGCTGGTCATTTTTTAGTATAAAATGTATCACTGGTATTTTTGCTTAAAAATGTATTTTTATACATATTATTTTGTTTGGAGGTTCACTATTTGCCCATAGCTGGGACCCTAACAGGTGCTACCACCCCGGGTCAGAGTGGACCTGGGAACAACAGCAATTAAGAGGTGGTTCCACGCTCTTCAAATCCTCGAATATCCCGATCAGAGGACTTGCTGCCGGATGTAGTTTATCGTTATACTCAGGGCGAATAAAAAGAGACATAGAAACAAAAAGTGACAGTTGACATTTTTATGGCACATAACGAAGAAAGCGGGTTTGGAGAATTTGCCAGTCACAGGATATATTAAAGGCAAGAAGAGTATTTATGGAGCCTGATTCAATGGACGGCAGAACAGGAACTTGGAGATATGGTGAAAAAGATAAACATTGTTCAGAGCTACAAATGATAGGAAGTTGTAGAGAGCCTTAACCCAACAACGTCCTGAAGGAACGCAAAAAGCAACAAAAAAAAAGAGGTAATAACTATCAAATCGCTGTTGTTATGATCTTGTTTTGTACTTGTAAAATCCGCCATCCTTGCGTGGAGTGAATATCAATTCTTCCCGCCTTTTTGCGACATAACTGTAAACGAAGTAAAAAAGTATCGGGGGTGGGATGAGGAGAGGATACATGGCGTGGGGAGCGAGGGTGGTGTATGTGGCGTGGTGGTGGTAGAAATAGCAGAAGGAAGAGGAGGTTGAGCTCAGAACAGCTGCATACGAAGGAACATTTTTTTCCTTTTCTACGAAAAAGGTTCTTAAAATGTTCCACAAAAAAATAGAGCTATTATTATTATTATTATTATTTCTGCCTATTCATCATGTCCTTCACGAGCTCCACATTTTTGTTGTTACTGCTGCACCTCCCTCTGAGTGTGTTTTACAAGAGTTCATCTTCACCTGCTTGGCGAACGATCGAGATTACATATCTGCGCATGCGCCTGTCTAAGTATCGATTGTGGTCACAGACAGATACGGGCTACTTATGCATTTTGACACGTTTTTTTCTTCTATCTGCTTCTTCATCTATCTATCTATCTATCTATCTATCTATCTATCTATCTATCTATCTTAGTCTGTTCATATCTATCTATCTATCTATCTATCTTTTCATGTCAATCTATATATGTCTTTTTCTATCTTTTATTCTACCTAACAATGTAAATAAAATTCATATTTTCACACCTACCCACACCACTTAGCACTCACTCATTTCTTTGCACATATTGACACTCATATTCATTTACAAGATAACTACACACACACGCACGCACGCACACACACACACATATATATATATTAGAATTAGAATATATACACACATGTATTTATATTAGAGGACACACACACACACACACATATATATATATATATATTAGAATTTCGAAGATAAACACACACACACACATATACATATATATATTATAATTATTCAAATATATATTAAATTAGAGTTAACACGGTGTCTCAATAATTTTTTAATTTAGATGCACATTCCGATTTTATTCATTTTCTATCGAGTTTTTTTTATTATATAGTATTTACCAATATTTTAATTTTCTTCTCACCCTTTTATCAATTTAATTATCGTTTGATATTTAAACAGATGGTTTTTTGGGTAAAATTACAAAAATATTGTCTTTGTTTTGCAAAAAATACCAAACTGTGTTTTTTTCTATTTCGATCAATGTTCGTATTGGCAATACAAAAATTTTCAAAAAGAGAATGTTTGGAAAATAAAATCTATTTATCTTTAATCTATCTTTTTATCTCTTTTGGACAATCAAATTTTTTCTTTTATTTTATCATTTCATCTAAAATCCATTTTCCATATTTTCTCCAAAATTCAAAAATTAAATTCTTTGTCTTTTTCATTTTATTCTATAAATCTCACTTGAAATTCAAAATGAATCTATTTTTTTTATTGTCCTTTTTTATTTTCATCCATTCGGTTGTTCCCAATTATCAGAAGCTAATTCATTCAATCATCTTTCTATCCACAATTATCTTCAGCATTTGAAATCCACAAAGATAATCCATTCTATCTATCTATCTATTCTATCTATGAATATCTATCTATCTATCTTCTATCTATCTATCCATTAATCTATCTATATCTATCTCTGTTTCAGTCTGCTCAAATCTATCATCTCTATCTATCTATCTTCATCTATCTATCTATCAATCTATCTATCTATCTATCTATCTTAGTCTGTTCATATCTATCTATCTAATCTTTTCTTAAATTATTTATGCTTCCATCTTTCTATCTCATATCTATCTATCTCATCTATCTATCTATCTATCTATCTATCTATCTATCTATCTAAAGTTGTGGTAGGATCCACCTAATTTGAATAGTGGAGTACCGACCATATAAATATGGTTGGTACCGGGAAGAGAGGAGGAATCAAGAGATTCAACCAGAGACTCTGCCCGACTGCGACTCAGTCAACACATTCTCCAGGAACGGTCTTACCAGGAATATACAAAAGACTATATGTAAATATTGTGTACACTTTCTTGTTTCAATACATTTTGTTCTAAGTACATTTTGTGTTGCATTATTATTCCATGCATTAGTCAAGTTTCAACACTATCTATCTATCTATCTATCTATCTATCTATCTATCTCAGTCTGTTCATATCTATCTATCTATCTGTCTATCTCAGTCTGTTCATATCTATCTATCTATCTATCTATCTATCTATCTCTATTCTATCTATCTATTTTTGTTTCTATCTATCATCTATCTATCTATCTATCTATCTATCTATCTTTTCTATCTATCTATCTATCTATCTATCTATCTATCTATCTATCTATCTATCTGTCACAGTTATTCAAGAACCTTTTTCAATGTGCTGCGTCATTTCAGGACATTAGCGTTCAGGGTTTTCCATAACTGCCTATCTTGTGTGGTTCTTAATTTTTCTCTATTTGTTTAAGCTTCCTCCCCCCGTTCTCCCATTCATTCCCACAAGCTCGTCAGGTAAGTGACTCGCTGCCTTTCCCTATCCCTCTTTCTCTCAGTATGCCCTGTCAGTGTCAAGTTTTACAAGCCCCCCTCCCCTATGTGTCCAATGAATTTCAGCAGGCTTTTCCTGATTCTGTTGTTTCTGTTACCACTTTCATTAAAAAAAAAAATGTTGCTTACTCAGCCCATCCATGGATGCATCAATATATTTGAATACAATTCCTTATATATATATATATATATATATATATATATATATATATTATATATAACCTAGAAAAAAAATACTAAATGAAGAATAACCAAAACGGAGGTTGGAAATGAAATATTAATCTTTATAACATCAACAAAATACAATAAAGCCAGCGACGTCAAGTAGGTAAACCACTAATAATGGTGGACGACTTGAAGACAGCATATTACCCCCAAAAATAAATTGGTATCCAACGTATTTAAATAATTGGGACATACCCATTAGTGTTCATATTTATGGTATATATCCTTCATTTTCATAGAAAATTGATTTATAGATAAATATTAGATAAATTTACAATATAAATTTTTGCGTGGTTATGAATGGTAAAAAAACGGATTTTGGAAATGAAATGGTTTTCTTTTATAAGATTGTAAATTAGCTCAATTCAGTTAAAGAATTTTTTTTTTATAACAGGATTTTAATATTTATTTTTAAATTTATTTTGAAAAATGCCTTTCATTTCACATAATTTTCCATTTATATCAAGAAAAGATTTAATATTTATCTCATTTGTTTTCCATTGATTAAACTTAGACGTAAAAATTTTTTGAATCTATATCAAATAATTCATTTCTAATTTAGAAGACATATTTCTTAAAAGGAAAAATTAGAAGCCATCATTTTGATTCTAAGGTATTATATATATATATTTTTAATATATAAACATAGTCATTTATATTTTGGCCTCAAGGGAAAATTTGATATTTTTAAGGAAAATTTATTTTTTCTTTCCAAAACCAAAATTGTTGACATTGTTTAACGTATAAATCATTATTTTTGTAAGTTTGCTTATCAAATAAATATGAAAAAAAGTCTAACTAAGATTATTCATTTGAATAAGAATTTTTGTTAATGAACCTTATTTTTAATTTATGTAAATAAAAGTTATATTATCCTGTTCGATAAAATTTGACTCATCTGATTTTTTTTTTTAAATGTTCTTTTCTCATTAAACGAAAGTTGAGCTAAATTCAAAAATAAGCAATTTAAATCCGAAGAAAAACAGCCAAGCTCTTTGAATTTAGTGTAAAAATGTCAAGCATCCATTCAGTATAATGTTCTGGGGATGCTTTTCTTTTCATGGAACTGGTTTCTTAAAACCTATTGAAAAGACCCTCAGGAGCGAAACAGTACAAGAGAAATTTTAGAGTCTTGTTTGCCCTTCTGCTGAAAGGGTGAAAATCGACCCCACCAAGCTAATTTTTTTATGCAGGATAATGCCCCCTGTCACAAATCAAAATTGATGAAGGAATACTTTGATGAGAAGCAGGTGAGTGTTATGAGATGGCTGCCCCAATCTCCTGACCTCAACCCCATAGAAAACTTATGGAGCATTATAAAGTACAGGCTCTCGAGAAAGCATCCCTGAGCATTCCATCATATATATATTATATATATATATATATATATATATATATATATTTATATATATATTGTTTATCACTAAAACATTTAGGTTCAAATGATCAGAATCCCTGTAATGCCAAAAAGTTGAAAAATATTATTCTAAAAAAGAGTCAGATCAGGCCAAAAATATTACTGTATTCATATATATATATATATATATATATATATATATATATTTATTTATATATATATATATGTTTTTATGCATTAACTAAAGGATACAAACCGTTTTCACATAACATACAATAAATAATTTTCCAAATAATTTATAATAGTGTCCATTATTATTTCAATTTGAAGAATTTAACTACGACAGTTTTGTTCCTTTTTTTTTACTGGGAGATTTGAATAAAATCATATTAGAATTGAAATTTGTTAGAACAAAAACAATAACCCAAAAAAAATTTTAACATAACCCTAATCCTAACCTAACCCTTTAATTATAATACTAATCCTAACCCTAATCCTAACCCTAACCCTGCTACTGTGTCTATCCATCAAAACGTCAAATTGAACTTTCGTTTGTTCAACTTCAGGCGTAAGTCTCTTTTAAGCGATTTTAGGTTACATCAACATACAAGTTGCCCAGAAAGCTGCCTGGTTGCTTTAACATTCCATACTATTAAAAGTGCCATCAATTAAATGACAATTCTCCCATATATATAACGACTATAGTTTGGACCATCTATTTATTAATACGATCAGGAGATATTATACACAAATTTAATAATAATAATAATAATAATATAATAGTCCATTATTAAATATGTATTATTGCATTTAAATGACAGAAGAAGTTTTTAAAACCGTTGGGAGATTTGGTAAAACCATTTTGATTAGAAACCTTCTTATGTTTCTGTCACTGTTTCTTAACGTTTTCTTCCAAATTTTAAATTTTTGGGGCCCACAAATTTTATTTGTCCATATAAGATTTAACAGAATTTCCATGGGGAGGAAATATATTTAATTTTCAAAAATTGAAATGTAAAAAAAATATAAATGATGCTGCCTTTAAACGGTTAACTCTAAAATAACCCTAAATATAGCCCTAATTTTTAACCCTAACAAATAACCCTAACCTGATACTAATACATGAATTACTAAAGTAGTTAGATATAATTTAAATTTGGGGAGATTTTTTCAAATTCAGGAGTTGTTTCGCCTTCGTTTCAATTGCATCTCCAGGTAAGGTTTTTTAAAAAAGAGGACACATTGAGAATCACCGATTTTTTTAAATTTTGAGAATATTTTTTTTCCATTGGAGTGGGGGTCATCTTGAACACATACACACACAATTTCATTGAGTTTGGGATAAGACATTGTAATTTTTCTCTTACTCAGTCTGGACAAATCCTACCTTGAGCTGAACAATAGAATTATCATTTTGGAAATGTTGATACTCACAGGGCAGATTTCTAAAAAATTGACAGAGGAAAAACAAAAAATTAATGTACTTATGTTTGAGTAAATGGATGGAAAACCAACAGGGTTTAAGACCCGAAATGTGCGCCATGTTTTTGAAACAGTTGTGTCGCCTCTGAGTGTTGACTGTAATTTTCACTTTATATTTATTTTTGATTATTTGCTCTATCTCTGATATTGAGCAAACTTTATCCCATAAATATAGCAATTCACCTTAAATTTATTTATTTCTTCATATATATATATATATATATATATATATATATATAATTATAAAAAAAATGTCTCCATCGCGACGCAGAAATTACTATGTTTCCAAACACAAACTCCTAAAGTTCAATTTCAAAATTAAACTTAAAATTTAGATCACCGTTTCATTCTCAAGCGATGTTAAGAATAAATAACGGCGAAAGTAAATTTGGGGGCTGGGGTATGACTTGACCGATATACATTACATTAGATACATAGTTTTCTAAATAAATTAGAACTTTAATGCACCCCGTAATAAAAAAAAAAAAGATATAATTTATATATATATAAATGACTGAAAATATCAAATTTGTCTGGATTTATAAATTAAGTAGTTCAATTTTTAGACAAGTTATTCTCAGCATTCCGGATCATCAGGTAACATTTTTGGAACAAATGAAATGAAAAATGAGATTAAAATTGATGGGTAAAGTTTTTGTAATTTAACAGGGGGTGAGGGATAACTTTAAAGATCAAAGGTAAAAATTTAGGGAGGGGTTTTGGTTTCTTTCTCTCTTAAGTGCAAAGGATTTTTTTTGCATTGGGAGTAATATTTCACCATTGACCAGACCTTGACCTATTTAGATGGTTAACTTTTTATATATCTATATCTTATATTAAATCTCTTTAAAAAAATGGACAAACTGTTAAATTAACATCCCCTCATCCCCCTGTTAAATTAAATCCCTTCCTGTTAAATTACAAAAATCGAGGAATCGAGAGTTTAGTTCAATTCTGTGGAATTCATTACATTCAAAAAAATGCTTTCCCACTTCCTGAAAAGTATGAATCCTCTTTTTCTACCCCTCCCTTACCGGTTATGGGTAAATAGCAGGCCAGATGGGTTTCTATAGTCTTGGATGGCAACTGGTCTACCGCAGAAAGAGATGGCAAACTACTGCGTCAGTATCGACAGATACATGATCGTCTGGCACATAACTGATGTCGGTGGGGGGGGCACCAGTATTTTAGAGATGTTTAGGTGGGTCATGACAAAAAAAGAAAGAAAAGGTGTAGAACCTTTAATGTATTGTAGTTCCAGTCGAATATTTGACGGATAAAGCACTCATTCATGGTAGATATATAATTAAACCCGAGAACTGAATAATTAAATTAAATTAAACATAATTCGACAGGTACAGAGATAAAATTGCTTGACGAAAAAAAAACTTAATTCTTAATTTTTCAAAATAATGCTCGCCTTGTACAAGGCTCAAGTGCCACTCTATGTAGAGCGCTACAAAGTAAAAGGAACATATCTGGGAAAGATAGAGGTTAAGTTTGAACAGGGTAAGATTGTAATGATCAAAGAAGCATCCTCGTGGGAGTCGGTTTCAAAAAGCAGCTGTTCGTGGAGGGAAACTGCTCGAGTGTAATTTTTACTTTTACAATGATGCTCATCGGCAGGGTAAGAGCCAGTCGAAGTAGAGAATTACAGCATAAGAGGTAAGAGGTACAGTTTATGAGGATATGTGCAGAAGATAACGATTAAACCTAGACTTGAACAGGTTAACATTGTAGTAATCGAGGAAGCATCTCCATGGGAGTCGATTCCACAAAGCAGAAAGTTCATGG